GAGGCCGCGTCCCACATACAGCAACTAGAAGGATGTGCAGCTATGACATACAACTATCTACTGGGGCTTTGGGGGAAAATAAATAAATAAAATTAAAAAAATAATAAAAAATAAAAAAATAAAAATAAAAAAATAAAATAAAGATCCAGCTTTACAGGAAAACGGTGCCTGCGTTATTCAGTCTACTATTCAGAAGAGGGTAAACGCTCGTTCTAACAATTACAAAGTCATAAAGACAAAAACCTTCTCAAGTCAGGAAAAGAAAACGAAAATTCTTTTGAAAATAAAACATTTAATTGCAATTAGGATTATTCTGCCTATAATCCATTAGAAACGGTTTTTGTTTTGCTTTGTTTTTTGCACATATGTGGATGGCCTGTATAAACAGGTTATTCCAGAAGAAATTAAAGCAAAATAAGACACTGATAGTGAGAAGAAAAATGTAAAGGAAACATTTGATTCTCCCCACATTTTATATCCGATTGATGATCCACATACAATTTTATTACATAAACATTTTATATTTTACAGTTGCAGATACTACCACTAAGGCTTTTACATAAAATTTACCGCAACTAAGAATTGTCTATAATGTGAAGTCCACTGAACTGCTACTAGAATTTCTGCTGATATGATTTCCAATATAAATTTAGGTTAGATATAACCTCAAATGGTTTTTAAAATGAAAACCAACAAGAATTCACTGCTTCGGCAAGTTAAAAAAGTTCCTAGGCTACAGTTAAAAAAGAAAAAGTTGGAACAGATAAGATGTGAGGCTTCTTGAAGAATTCTTATGAATATAATTTTAAGATAAACTTGTAATACATGTAGTTTCTCACAATAAGAAATAAATAACAAAGTTACTGTAATTATTTATTATATGAAAATGTAGAGCCCTTAAAACGTCTGAGAAAATTAGGAAGGATGATGTCAAAATTTCTACATTATGACTGAATTTGGGAAAGAAAATAGCATTTGTAAAGGAAAACAAACCCGAAAGATACAAAATTGACGCTGTCATCTCTCTCCCTGCTCCACTTCCAGGTCTTCAGCATCTCCAGGCAGGTTTACTGCAAGAGCACCCCAAGGAACAGGCTCTCCGCTTCTGCCTCTCCTTCCACCTCTCTGCCCTTCACCTGTTGTCAGTAGATCACACTAACACGGAATCCGACTGTCACTCCCTTGTGCAGAAGACCACCACAGAAGGGCGAGCTCCAGAGCTCGCAGGATGCCCCACACTCACCTTCCCCGCCCGGTTTCTCTCAACTAGGGCTGTGTTTCACCTATGTGCCAGCCACAGAGAACTGCCTGCTACTTCCTGAAGTGGTCCACACTCTCCCAATTCAGCTCTTCTGCTCATTCAGTTCCCTGTGGCTGGAAATCCCGTTCCCTTCCCTGCTGAACTCTTACCCAACTCCACAGCTCTTCTCCAAGGCCGTCTCCCCATAAGCTCTTTCATTCCAGCCGGCTGTGACCCTCTCTCCTCTGACACCTCAATGTGTCTCTAAAGGGACTAGTATTCCATCTTACATCAAATTACTTATCGTCTCCACTGCAGGACTGTAAACTGTCTGAGGCAGAAGCTGCCTAATTCCTGCTCTGTCCCCTGAAGCAAGTGGCAGGGTGCCATACACAGCGGAGGTGCTCAAGTATGTAGTGAGCCAAGCTACATAAAGTTCTGCTCCAACAGAGCCACTGGAAGGAAAATACTCTGAGTGCGTAGAAAGAAAATTAAAGGGCTGGTGACAGTATTTTGAGAAAAAGTCTCAGAACATGCAAAATTTATACCAATGGCAGAAATATTTTACTTTTTTAGGACTTAGTCTCACAGGGTTTTGTGAGGTTATGATAGAAAAAAAAAATATGCACACAAAACCTCCTTCTTTCCAGGTAAATAATAAATGAACTCAAGGAAAGTAACCTTTAAAAAATAAACTCAATCATTTTTCCCCAGTCAAGTTGTAGAAAGTAATACAAGAAATATTAATAATTCTGTTACAATGAAATCATAAATAGTCTTAATTATATAATTAACCCCAGAAAAAGGCTTACAATAATTCTTTCTTTTGTGAATTTACCCAAGTAAAAGGAAGCCAGGCTAAATACCACTAGTTTTTCTTTAAGAACAGGCTCTAAAAATGAATGAACAAATAAATGAACAGACTTAATAAGACTTGGTTCAGAGTTCACTAAAAACCAGTGCTTCTCAAAATATTTGTGGGAAAGGACCGGTTTTTAAATATTTCCTATCTCTTCCAGACTGATACCCTTATAAACTATAATACAAATGCAGCAGCAATGTCTAAAGGTTGATGTGCACTTTCTGTACTTGTCATGGACCAGTAACAAACTTTGCAAACGGGCAGCCATCTGCTCTGTTTCCTCAAATCCACATACATTCAACACACCACCAAAGGTACGGAAAGGCAGGATATACGCCTACCTTCTGCTCTTGCACCTCAAACACCGCTTCATGGACGCTGCAAGCAAAAAGTGAGGTAGGCAGGTCGCTTAAATCCATTATCTCTTCCAAATCATCTTCATTTTCACCAAAAACCATCTCTTCTTCCTCCTCTTGGTCACTGCTACAGAGATCGGACTGGCTGTCATTCCAAGATTTCATAGTGTCCCTCAGCATTTTCCCCTAAAAGCAGGTCTTTTCCGTTTTTAAAGTTCTAAGATGTCTACCAGGCATCTACTGTTCAAAAAAGAAAACAACAGAGATAAGACTCTGAAGGCCAAATCATGTTCCAATCAATTCTCGAGACAGCAATTCATCAAAGGAAGCAATTTATTCAAGAAAGATAAATCAGCATCTAAATCAACTCATTACAGTTCTCATATATGAGTTCTATATATACTAATTTGATTTGCTTAGCATATTTTACGTAATATATTTCACAGGCAATGATGTGTTACAAAAAAAAGGCAAAAAGTTTTCTAGTAAAATTAGGGGGGAGAAAAAGGATAATACAAAATGAGATACCATCAACATGTACATGAGTCTACAAGCAGTAGGAAGGAAAATGTGAACCACAACTGCCTTCACATATTTGTTTTGGGTTTTAGGTCTACAACACTGAAACTGAAGAGCAGAATAAAACCCACACTGATTCACTCACCATCTGCACCCTGAAATATGCTCCATGAGGCGCTGACGCTACCTTTCTTAGCCAATTTGTTCTTTTGGAATATTCTCGCAAAGAATTAGATTACACAGAACCAAGAATTCTCTACAAAGCCGGCCTTTGTTAATACTGGAAATATTTACAGTAGGCAAAATTTGACATAAGACAATCAAAAAGATGTCCTTTTTCCGAACTTTTAAAAATCAATCATTTTAACTCCAGTGCACGGAGTTGAAAGTGTTCCTCTGTTAAATAAAGGACCAGGGGCTGTCTTATGTGGACAGTTTACGTGCATGTCTGTCTCTTCCGATGAACTGCACCCTCCGCCCACCAAGCATTGTGCCTTGAACATGACACATTTCAAGATGCTGAAACGGAGTTTAAGAATACCCATTATGCACAGAAAACTTAAATGATTGTGATTATTACTACTTCAATATTACCTAATTTGTGATTTTCCCTTTTATTTCAAGGAACACAAGGTTGCAAATATCTTGCTTATATAGTGTATCTTGTAGAATGTTAATTATAAGATAAAAATAGTAGGATTTTCTCATTATTTTACTGTATCAATCAGGAAAGACTAATTCTAAAAAGTAAAATCTTTACTCATTTTAATAAACATTTTCTTGCATGCCTATTGCATGCCAGGTATTGAGGGATATTAGAAGACTAAGACATGGTTCCTATCCTTAAGGAGCTCCCACCAAAGCAAGAACTTCCTCTCCTCAACAACACTAACCACGCCAAGAGGATCTCGTTCCATTAACTGGCTCCTATACTTTCAATTTCTCCCTCTCCACCTGTTTGTTTTCCGCAGTAAACATACCTATTCAAGATTCCCCGCCCTAATTGTGGGGGAAAAAATAAATCTCCCGTTTGGATTCTACCTTCCCCTCAACCTTCCTCTCTCTGTCTCTCCTTACCTTTCCTACCAGCTTCCCAGAAAGAGTGATCTGTATTTGCTGTGCTCACTTCCTCAACTCCAGTCACTCCTGAATTCAGGGACGCTGGACTCCTCCTTTTGGCTGAAACTGCCCTCACCGTGGACAGCAACGGCTTCCTCCTGCTCGGAACCTAACTGCAGGGCTCCGCCTCTGCCTGCAGCACCAGACCCCGCTGCCTCTCGGACCTCCCTGCCTTCTGGGTCTCCTTCCTCATCAGCTGTCTTTGTCACTGGCTCTTTTCTCCACTCACGCTTTACATCTTCATCTCTGAGGTTTCATCTCCACCCTCTTCCTCATCTTACTCTTCCTGAGTGGTTTTATCCACGCCCAAGCATTTAACTGCTCAACCACCGGTGCTTCTCAAATTTGTCTCCTGCTTCCCTGTGGTTCACACACAACGAGTGTGTGTCAATACTGCGTCTTGTTTCACACAATGATTCTTAAACCGGGAAGAATGTCACCAAATCTGAGGGGGAAGCAAGAGCAGAATCCTAGACAATGGAGGGGATGGGTAGTTTGGAAAAAGTACATGACCCCAAGGGATTCTGATCTGCCCCTAGGTCTGTCATGCCTTCGCACACTGAAAATCACTCATCTTTCTGATTTCTATATCCAGACTCAACCTCTCTCCTGAGCTCTAGACTTGTATTTTTAGCTTTCTACTGAATATATCTATCTGGGTAGCCCATAGGTACTACGATTTATACTTATTCCTTTACTTAGATTATTGTGCTAGAAATCTCCAACCTGGAAGGGGGCTTGGTGGGGGGAAAATGGTATCTCACTGTGGCTTTCATTGTAATCTTTCCTTCAAGACTAAGTTATCAGGTAGAGTTCGTAGCTCTCCCAGCACTCTGTTCATTTCTCTGTTATGTACTTATGATTATTTGTTTATAAAGCACTCCTCGATACCAGACAGTGAGTGCCTTTGAATCCCTAGACCCTTGCAGTTTCTAGCTCAGAGTATACGCTTAATAAGGATTGCTGAATGAAGGCAGATAGCACTGTGCTTACCCCACTGAGACAGGGCAGCACAGACAAAGGAAAATTTAATTCTGCATGAGATTAGAGACAGCTTCCCAAAGGAGGTTACAGTGAGACTTAAAGGATGAACAGAATTTCAGCAGGAAAAGAATGGGGTACATTCCACGCAGAGCCAACAGTTCATGGACAAAGGCGGAAAGAACAAACATCAGCATGCACAGGCCGTGTGGCCTGGTGTGGCTGGAGTGCGCGAGACAAAGTTAGGAAGGCAGGGATGGGCCAGGCTGCCTTGAGAGTAGCGTTAGAGTTCTGACATAAAACCAGCCAATAGCAGCACGCCATTGAGGGTTTTTAGGCAGGAAAATGATATAACCAACCCAATTTAACTTTGAGTATCACCAAAAGTGTATTTTCTTTATATCTTATCTCTTAAAGGCACTACTGTTTTTAATCTCCCCCACCCCCAACCCATTAAAAAGAGGTGAAGAAAATATCATGCCTGGTTTTTTATTTATTTATTTGTTATTTTATTTTTTGTGAGGAAGATCGGCCCTGAGCTAACATCTGCCCATCCTTCTCTTTTTGCTGAGGAAGATTGGCCCTGGGCTAACATCTGTGCCCATCTTCCTCTACTTTATATGGGACGCCGCCACAGCATGGCTTGACAAGCGGTG